CGAGGTTAGTTAAGTTAAATTATGTTTTAAAATGTGATCTTAGATAAAAATTCTAAAACAAAATCTGGCCTTACTTCATTAAAAATCTTTCCATAAAAGTCAACAGAAAAATGAGTTCTGACAGACTTTAAACTATTACAGTCCATAAAAATACGCTTCAAAGATAATGGATTCTGGCATAAAGAACATAAAGGAGGATCTTCACCCACCAACAGAAAACTATGGGTTAGTCTGGAATGTCCTATTCGACAGCGAGTGTAGACAATATGATCCCATCGATTTTCAAAGTGGGCACAACGTTTTACACCAACTACAGGATCGATTTTGTATAGTTTGTTTGTTGTACATTTATCCCATTCAGCTTGCCATTTCTTATAAATATAAGTGTTTATAGCAGGTCTGAGGTCTAAAGGTGGAATTGGGCATTTCTTAAGTTCGGAAGATAGAGCTTTTAAGGCTTAAGTTATTAAGGCTCTAGATCAGCATGATTCTGAATTATGACTCTGAATAATAGCAGTTCTAGATCACCATGATTCTGGATTATTATGATTCTCAATCACCATGTTTTGAGACATTATGATTCTAGATCAGCATAATTACGGCTCTAAATAATAATAGTTCTAGAAAATCATGGTTTTGGATTGTTATGATTCTCAATCACTAAATTAACTAAATTATAGATTAATTAATCTAAATTAACATAACTCTGAATTATTATGACTCTTAATAATAACAGTTGTAGATTTCCGTGGCTCTGGATTATTATGACCGTCATTGTGGATTATTATGATTCTCGATCACCATGTTTTTGAGTCCATAAGGTTCTAGATCGGCACAATTATTATGGCTCTGAATAACAACAACAGTTCTAGATCACCATGATTCTGGACTATTATGATTCTCGATTACCATATCTTAAATACATTTATGTTCTAGATGAGAATATCCTGAATTATTATGATTCTCAATCGCCATGTTTTTGAGTTATTAAGATTCTAAATTAACACGATTCTTGATTATTATGACACTGCATAAGAACCATTCTAGATCATCATGATTCTGGATAATTATGGTTCGCGATTACCATGTTTTGAGTAATTAAAATTCTACATTAGCAAAATAATTATGATTCTGAATAATAATAATTCTACATCACGGTTCTGTACTACTATGATACTCAACCACCATGTTTTTGAGCTATTAAGATTCTAAATCAGCATGATTCTGGATTATTATTATTCTCCATCAACATGTTTTGAGTTATTATTATTCAGCTATGAATAGGGCTGGACGATATGGCCAAAATTGATATCACGATCACCGTGGTTCTGGTTCTGCTGCGAGCTGGAGCGGAGGATCTTGTGGTTGCTGCCGCTGAGGATCTTGCTGCCCCGGTTGGCTTTGGTCGGCCCGGTGGCCGCCGGCTCCTCGTCCGGCTCCAGCAGATCCAAACCCGCCTTGCGCTCTTTGCGCACCGAGCGGATCTTCTCTCCCGTCATATTTACACTGATGAACGGTGGAAAACAGCAGCCCGCACAACATGAACACTGTCCGGTGACTCAGCGGAGACGGACGGGAATGAAACACGCACCGGAGCGACGCATCGAACGGTAAACAAACGACACACACTCACACACCCTATGAGGAAGAGCCATCTGCCATCTTCCGCTCACACTCTCGCGAGAATCACGGGCGGGTTTAATGAACACAGCGCGGAGTCTCGCGAGAACGAGGGGACTCACCCTCATGCATCGAAACGATCCTCTCTACTCTCGCGAGAATGGCGTGCGGGGAGACTAGAGAGATTGGTAAGTCTCGCGAGAGTAAGTAAATGAGCCTGGCAAACCTTCATTTGTTTGGCATACACAAACGTACTGAGCTTTTTGGCCCTAATAAATTTTTTTTCGTCATTTCATAAACGTGAACAAGCACTTAAACGTTTAGAGTATCATTCCTGACATCAACTTCATTTCAGAAGTACTTCTGGTAAAATCTGTGTGATTTGAAAACAGAATTCTTAGAATTAGTTCAGAAACCGAAGAAATTCACATTAATCTAAATTAGAGGCTTCCACATTTTCCTTGTTGTCCTATGGTCTTTATCATGCAAATTAAACCTTTATTATCACAAAACGATTTGAAAGATGTATGGAAGAGGATTCATTTCTGTAGAATATTTTCTTATATATTGTGAATATTGTGCCGTCTTTACTTTGTATTGGTCTTGATATTTATATAATTTCTGTTTTCCTTTGGGATTTTTTACACTTTCTTTTGTATTTCATATATAAGTTCATTGTAAAGGTAGAAAAATCCCAAATAAAATATTTCAAAAAGAAATTCATGTGATATAATATTATTATTATTTATTATTATTATTATTATTATTATAGATATTGCGAAATAAAATGAATATGTTTAAGACTTATTTTTTTAAATTTTTGCCTTTATTTAGATATGATTGTTTTATTTGTTATTATATTATTTATTATTAGTATAAATATTGCAAAATAAAATCACTATATTGAAGACTTATTTTTTTTGGAATTTTTGCCTTTTTATAGAATTTATAATTTATTATCATATTGTGAAAAAAAAATCAATATAGGGAAGATTTATTTTTGACATTTTTGCCTTTATTTAGACAGGATTTTTATTTATTATATTATTTGTTATTATTATATATTGTGAAATAAAATCAGTATACTGAGGATTTATTTTTGGCATATTTGCCATTCTTTAGGATTTTTTTATTATTATATTATTTATTATTAGTATAAATATTATGTATATATATTATAATATATGTATATTTTGTCTGTATAATGGAAGTCAATGGGGACCGGCAGCTGTTTGGTTCCCAACATTCTGCAAAATAACTTCCTTTGTGTTCAACAGAAGAAACTGGTACAGGTTTGGAGCGACGTGTGTGAGTAAATGATGACAGAATGTTCTGTTTTGGGTGAACGATGCCTTTAAAGTCTCTATATGAAGGATGATTCACACAGATGAAGAAGATCTAAAACAGCGGATTACTCTTCCTCCATCAGAATGAGCAGAATTGTGCTGTGGGATGATGGAGAGTCAACACAGAAGATCTGTTCATGTGAGTAAACAAGCACAGAGTTTATTTAGAGATGCGTGTGAACGAGCAGCTTTGTGGAAACAACACAGAAGACCAGTGTGCTTCATGGCAAAACTTAAAAAACTGAATTTATCAGTATCTGCGTCTTGATTTGTTTCTTGCAAATGTTTTGAACGGTAGTGTATATTGTTAGAAAAGATTTCTATTTTAAATAAATGCTGTTCTTTTCAACTTTTTATTCATCAAAGAATCCTGAAAAAAGCATCACAGGTTACAAAACATTATGAAGCAGCACAACATTGATCATTCTAATAATAAAGCAGCATATTAGAATTAGCTCCGCTGCTGTCTGGACGATGCAATGGTCACATTAATATTATTCGTAATGTCTTTATTTATATTTATTTCAAAACCCAAACGATCGTTCCGTGCTCCTAAAATGCATTATTTGTGGACTAACCAAACTCAACCGAAAAAGTTGATTTCTTTTTCTGTTCTTTTTTTTAAATGAACAGATTAAAATAAAATAATATAAAACAATAAATAAATAAGAGTAAAATAAACGAGTAGGTTAAAATACAAATAATAAAAAGGCTAATTAAAGTGTAATAACTAACTAAATAAATACATATATTCAAATAAATTAAATAAATAAAAGATAAAAATGTATAAATTAAAATAGTTAAAAAATATATTTTAAAAATAAATTATGTAAATAAAAAAAATAATAAAAGATTAAAATAAAATGAATACATTGAAATAAATAAAAATGTAAATGTATCAAATTATAGTAGAAAATAAAGTTCTAATAAAAATAAGTTTAAAATAAAATGAATAGATTAAAATAAAATTTAAAAAATAAACAAAAATAAAAATAAGATTAAAATAAATGTATGTATTAAAAATAAATAAATTGTAATAAATAAATAATAAAATTAATTAAATAAATAAGAGATAAAAATCGATACATTAAACATTTTAATAATATTTTTTTTAAATAAATGTTCCAAACTAAAGTTGAGTAGATAAAATAAAATGAATAGATTAAAATAAATACAAACTGATTAAAATACATTTAAAAGTTAGGTTACAATAAGCACATAAATAATACACATAACAGTACAGTACTATAGGAGTAGAAAAAACCGTATACCTACTATATATTAGATGAAGTGTGTTACAGTATTGTTATACATTTAGGCGTTATTTCCCTGGTGACGGAGTGATCTGCGTCCCTGCGCTCCGTTAGTGCGGTCTGACGTCATTGCGTCATCACGCTCGGAGCAGTTTAACGCAGAGACGAAGCGAATTTAAAACTTAAAAATCAGTATTGTATTTAAAAACAAAATCACGGGGTACATCCAAACTGTTGTAATTTCTCAAAAAAAAAAGTGCAGCTGTCAAACTGTAAGCGTGTTCTTTCGTTTTTTTTTCTAATGTATATTTCTTATTTTATATTATTATGCTTATTAAATGTGATATATGTTGTTATAATTCTCGTTTTATACTTATTATGATCGATTTTCCTGTTGAACGGCGTGATCGGCGATCCGTTAGTTTGCCTGCGCCGCCGTGCGTCATTGCGTCATCACACGCACAGTGTTTTTGCTTCGTCTCTTTCGAACCGCGGAGAGATTCGTTCTGTTATACCCTCGGTTTGGACTTCTGCGCCTCATCCGATGACTGGAGTCAACCGAACCTGATCGGGCCGATCGATACCTCATCGATATCTGATCGATCGCTGAGGAACCCGGAGGAGATGCGCGTCCGCTGATCGCCTCAGGATCGATATCTGATCGATAGCACACGCTGACGGACCCTCAGCGCTCCGCTACTGTCTGGACGATGCGATGGTCACATTAGGCAGGTGTGCTCTTCCTCCTCCTCCTCCTCCTCCTCCTCTGGTGTGTCGGATCAGGTGGATGTGACACACACACACACACGCACACACACACACACACACATCATGCAGGCTGCGTCCTTCCAGTATGATTTCTACAGTGAGGAGAACGCGCCCAAATGGAGAGGACTGCTGGTGCCGTCACTCAATAAGGTGAGACAGCTGTCAATCAATCCACTGTATCGGTTCATGCATCCCGCGGGATGTTATATATTTTGCTGACTTGTGTACTTACATTATCCCAAATGTTTCGAAGAATGTTTAAATCCAGAGAAATAAGCAATTTTAACCAATGACACGGAGTGCGTCTATAGTGTCATTGTGTCACCTGCCAATGACGTCATGACTAGAGCCCGACCGATATATCGTTTTGCCGATATGAGCCTGTTGCCGATATATCGGTATCGGCGAATATGCCACCGATATGAAATTTTTGATGACATCATTAAAGGAATAGTTCGGCTAAAAATGGAAATTAGCTGAAAATGTGCTCATCCTCAGGCCGTCCCAGATCAGGATTGAGTTTGTTTCTTCGTCAGGTTTGTAGAAATGTAGCATTGCATCAGTGTCTCACTGCAAGTGAATGTGCAGTGAATGGGTGACATTAGAAACAGCTGATAAAAACATCACAATAAAATGCATTTTTCCTATGTGTGAAACTCTGATGACAGCAAAGCAATCATCAATTATTACAATAAATTGCTACAGAGCATTTCAAACCTCTATGTGTTGTTCAGTTTATTCAAGGAACCATGAATATTTCAGTGTATAAAGTGTTTAGGTTATGCAAATGTGTACAAAATGCAAAAATGCAACACAAAAAGCGAAAAGCTGTGTGTTTGTAAGAAACAAATCCATCATTTAGGTGTGTTTAACTTCAAACTGTTGCATCCATGGCCTAAATACAAGTCCTTTATCCATAATGTTGCTTCCTCCAGTGAAAAAGTGTTCTGGTCTGAATCAGGAGAGAAATCTGCACAGATCAAGCAGTGTTTAAACAGCTCTAAACACATATGTGGCTGGATTTTGATGTGAGAGACAACAGCAGATGCACTTTTTCACTGGAGGAAGCGTTATTATGGATTATGGACTCGATGGTATTTTAGTTACAAACATCTTAATTAATACTTTTAAATAAAGTTTTAGTAATTTTGTTGTGTGTTTTTGTCACTTTTATTAGGTTTTGGGTTTTTTTGTCTTTAGGTTTCTATTATAGTTTTAACAAATATGTGAAATTCAGTATTTTTTTTTGCATTTTCCATTTTATTTTAATTTCAGTTAACGTTTTAGTAATTTTGTTGTGTGTTTTTTGTCATTTTTATTTTTTTTTTATTTATATTTTATTTATATTATAGTTTCTATGAACATTTTACATTTATTTTTGTATTTATTTATTTTTAGTTAGAGTTTTAGTAATTTAGTTGTGTTGGTGTTTGTGTTGCTTGGATGTTATTCAGATGTTTCTCATATTGCTTATTTTAATTTTAAATGTATTTAATAAATGTAAGTTTTTTTTATTGTAATTTTTTTGTTTTTTGCAATTTTATTTTTATGATAAATTTTTGCTAAGTACTTTATTTTGATTATATTTGTATTTTAAATAATAATTTTGTTTAAACATTTGTATTATTTATTTCATTTTTAGTTAGTGTTTTATCTTGATTGTATTTTTTCAATTATTTATTTTAATATACGTATTCATGATTTAGCTTTTAATAAGTGTTTTATTTAGATTTTTTATTTTCCAATAAGGAGTTTTATTTTCCTGACTGAGTGAGGTTTGCTGTGATGGTGTGTGTGTGTGCCGCAGGTGCTGAGTCAGGTGCACCCGAGGCTGTGGTCGCAGCAGGAGGCGCTGCAGTACATCGAGGGCCTGATCCTGCTGCTGCTCAACACTCTGTGTCAGGCTCAGCCGCGCTCCGTGCAGGACGTGGAGGTGAACGCCGTCGCCGTGACGACCGCATCACAACACGCTGACCAGCTGAACGCACACCTCATCTTCTGCTCTGTTCAAGCATAAAAACAGCCTGAAATCACACACAGTTTGGAACAATTAAGACTTTTTAGTGTTTTTGAAAGAGTCTCTTCTGCTCAAAAAAAGTATCAAAAATACTTTAAAAATTCTGAAATATTATTAGAATGTAAAACAGCTGTTTTCTATGTGAATATCTGTTAAACTGTAATATATTTCTGTGATGCGCAGCTGTATTTTCAGCATCATTACTCCAGTCTTCAGTGTCACATGATCTTCAGAAATCATTCTAATATGCTGATTATTAGAAACATTTCTGATTATTATCAATGTTGAAAACACTTGTGCTGTCCAATATTTTTGTGGAAACTGATACATGTTATTTTTCAGGATTCACAGATGAATAGAAAGTTCAAAAGCACAGCATTTATTTGAAATAGAAATCTTTTGTAACATTATAAATGTCTTTACTGTCACTTTTGATAAATTTAATGCGTGCTTGATGAATAAAAGTATATATTTATTCTTTTTGTAAGCTTTAAAACTGTTTTCAACATTGATAATAATCAGAAATGTTTGTTGAGCAGCAGCTGTTTTACATTCTAATAATATTTCACAATTTTTAAAATATTTTTGATCAAATAAATGCAGCCTTGCTGAGCAGAAGAGCGCTTAAAAAAAAAAAAATGTTTTAATAAATTTGACTAAATGTAATCTTTTGAGCGCTAATGTAAACGATGGACAAACTGCTCATAATTTCTGATGGTTCAGCATCGGTGATGTATTTGTTGTTTGGTTTTAGGGTGAAACATGAGCCAAGCTCTGTGAGATTCTCTCAGTGTAAACGCTGAGCATCATGGGTATTGTGTGACTGATGAATGTGTCTCCGAGTGATCTCGACTGACTGCTGCGGAGACGCTCAGCTGCTTGAGTGTGTGCTGTAGATCTCAGCTGCTTCATCATCATCATCATCATCACCTTCTCTCTGTGTGTGCTGTGTTCTTCAGGAGCGCGTGCAGAGGAGTTTCCCGCACCCCATCGAGAAATGGGCCATCGCCGACGCTCAGGCCGCGATCGAGAAGAGGAAGAGGAGGAACCCGCTAGCGCTGCCTGTCGACAAGATCCACCCGCTGCTCAAGGTGCTGCGCTCAATCACATCAGAGCCAACATCCGAGCAGTCTGCCGTTATTCATCAACTCACATCTTATAGAACGACACTTACGTCTTATGTGTTATTTTATTTGTAGTTTTTAATTAATAATATAGTAAAATAGTCATTTATTATATATTTATTTAATTTTTTTTAAATTATTATTAGTAATAATAGTAATTTATTTTATTTAATGATCATAATAATATTATTATATATTTATTTACAAATTTTTAATTATTAGTAGTAATAATAATAATAGTAATTTATTTT